AAGGAGGGACTTTGTAGAAAACAAAGCGTTTGAGAGAGGCGGGGCATAGAGGACCTACAATAATGTGTTTTTTGAACATTAAAGCATGTCAGCATATTCTGTTACACCAAATACACAAAATAATGATCTTTAAAAAAAGCATCATATGACCCCTTTAACACAGATTATATAACTTTGATCTAAATATTAGAAATTGCACAAAAGGGCTTTCCTAAAGGAAATAGGACACAGATGGGAGCTGACCAGGATTTTAATCAGCAACCTTCTCCAGAATAACCATTCACATACAGTAAGCCACCTGCTTCAATTTACAAAACAAATCTGATTTGAAACACAATAACCCAGTATTCTGTGATGTTTAAAAAAGGTGAAGCCGACCCTCTGAGAGTCCCATGTGAGATGAGATGGAATGGAATGCTATTCACCATGATCTGCACCTGGCCATTCTTGCAGGAGTCCGGAGAGTTTTCACTGTCATCTTTGCAACCACCCATCCTGCAGCGCACAGCGTCCTGCACCTGAGGAGGGAAGACAAGGGATACAGCCAGGGTGACTCACAGAGACATTCATTTAAATTTAAAACCATGAAATAGTAATATAAAACAAGAAGACAACCAAACAAATAGGAAAACATCATCATTTAAAACCTCTCTAGGGCTGTGCATACAGCAGCAGAATAAGGTGGTCAGTCCTGCTTGTGTTCATACACAGTTCAGGTATGAAAGGGAGTGTCAACCATATTCTACAACAATATATACCCCTTAAAATTTCAGGAGTCACAACTGAATTTTGAAAGTGAGTTTGGTTAGTATGTACTACATGAATGGAACCACAGTCGACAGTTGTCCCGTCAAGCGTGTGCTTTGCAGGTGTCAATCACTAATGTTAGGGTTGTCATCCTCTCTCAGTTTCTGAAAAATGGCAGAACATGAGGTACTGTGTGGTCGGAGAGCAAGACAAAAGAGGGTTCCGGCAGAGGGAATACAAAGAAAATAAAACTGGAATGTTGGCAACACAGATCTGAGATGAAACCAGGAGTAAGAGTATCCTAAAATGCAGACTAAAACATTTTAGAATAAGTATTTAATTCTTAAAATAGTGTTTGTTTGTTTTTTTTACAGATATTTACATATCAATATGTGTCATTTTGGTTCTAGGCATTCAGTAAGTTAGAAGAATTGTTGTTTTTGTTATCTTTTATTATACTCAATCAATTATACTCAATCACTTTATAACAAGTAGATTGTCAGTGATTCTTAAGACATTATTTAAAAAAATGCATAGGAGGGGTGAATATCTTCCATCCTGTGTTGATGCTAACATGAAACTAACGATAGTAGTAAATATCCTAAAGACACTAGCAGCTTCTATATACTCAGGAGAATCTATTGGTTTAATCTAGTTATCTTAGTAATTTACAGAGGGCATCTGTATGTGATTTCTCATAAAATGTTGATATTAGTTTATATTCCTGAGTGACAAACATTGCAGTGAGCCTGTTTGCATTTCTGCAGGAGTTTACATAACTGCAGATGTTAAGGCTCTACAACAATAGGGAGGAAGACACTTCCTTTAATAATAATAAAAAAAGAAAAAAAAAAAAAGAAAGTGTGATAGGCGTGTGTAGTGTGTAGCCTTAGCAACCGGACGCCACTCATTTGCATACAGATTTATGGCCAAAATGCCTACAGAATGACCAAGTGAAAGCACAGTGTTTCTTAACTGGGAAGATCAGAGCTCTTGTTGCCAAAAAATAACATAAGTGAGATTAACTGAGACTGTCTGGATGCATGACAAAGGCCCCTCTCAGGTGATTCAATCACAAGGGGATAGAGCTAAATACAGGTGTAAAGAGACATCTTAGAAATGCATTTTGACTTAATTGTTGAAATGCTGTACTGACACACACTGGTTGCTCAAAAAAAAAAAAAAAAGCGAAATTATATTAATTAAATTATATAATGAGATCACCATTTCAAATAAATACTGTACATATAATGTAATAATAATACATGTCATGTAAGAAAAGTTTTTACATTTTGAATGTATTTTAAATGCAGCCTTGGTGAGCATAAAAGACTTCTTTCAAAAACATTAAAACATCTTACACACCCTAAACTTTTGAATGGCAGTGTACATGCACAAGACAAGAACATTTGGTTTGCCTGATCTCAGACCTGAGATAAAATTCCATCCCAAGTGTTCACTGGAGGCACATTTTCGACATGTTAATTCTACAACATGTTGTACATATCCCAAGTGGTTGATCTGCCACGACTTTTATGGTTTGCAAAGGTTACACGCTGAACAAATGACACTTTAATCTACTTGCGTCCTCTGAATAGCATCAAGCATATGCTGTTGAAACACTTTATTTATCGACTGCACATTCTCTGCACTGTTTAGTAAATCCCTTCTCTTTCTATTCAACTGAGCATGAGTTATCATGCTGCAACACTATTCACCGGCCTAGACCAGAATCTGTAATCAGTCTGCTCTCCTCCCCGCAACTAAAATTACGATGTGCAGGAACACTAGGCTGTTTCGCAAGACAGAGCGGGAGACGGGAGTCTCATTCTCAGAGCTTGTTTATGGATGACTGTCTGCTGAGTCAAAGCTGTAGACGTATCAGAATGACACCCGATGGCATGCCTTCTAGGCTCTCTCTATCTTCAAAAATACATGAGAACAAACTATTCCCATAAACCATCCCCCACTCATTTGCCTGTGCTAATCATGAATGCTGCCTTTCCATTATTGGCTCTGCCATTTCAAAGTGTACTTCGCACATCAAACTGCATCTAGCGCAAGGATCCGGTGCACAAACTCCAGTCTCTTGTTTTGCTAAAGCTATTAGGGATTACATCAAAGCCTTGCCAGGGATTTTCATATATTTACTAAAATAATACCAGGATTTATTTTACTCTAATCCTTTGGTTTTGCGATACTGATTTAACATATATGGCTTAGGAATTTAGAACTGATTTTTTTCTCTCCCTCCTTAAACTCCAGCAGCATATTTTGAATTACCCGATACGTGAAAGTCAGATAAGTTACCACAGTACATGCTGGACAGCTGAAACTGTCACATCTTGGCTACAGACCCACTACAATGTGACTATAGTTTGATCCATCATTTGATTAATTTATGGCCGGTAAGACCAACCCATTATAACGTGAAAGGAGTGCATGCCATTTCAAAATATTGACTGCTTCAGCGGTCCAAGCCAAGTTTAATTCCTAAGTGGGCCTTAAAATAATGGACTCAAATAAAAATCCTCCTCCAGTTGCCATTTAAATACACCTCTGACTGTCCTCTAAGACTGGCAGTATAACAGTGGAACTTTTATTTCTTATATTATTATGGCCAATCACATGCACATAATAGTGTGATGAAGACAGAGGTTATCTAAGTCAGGGTTTATCAAACTCTTTGATGCCGGAGGCCAGGGATCTCTAAATATGAAAGTAGTATATGTACGCACACACACACATCACTTTTGAATGATAGTGTTTATATGTTTAAATACATATAATTTATAATATATGAAAATAAAACATACACACACACACTACCATTCAAACGTTCAAAAGAATATTTACTTTTGATTAATTAAATGCATCATAGAAATTCTGTATATATCTACTATTATTTTTGTTAAAATAATAATAAAAATAAATGATGTGCATTGTTGAAAAACAGAATATCAAAATCAGTAAATATCAGTAAATTATAATAATAGTATATTAAATTAATATCCTAAGTTAAAGGGATAGTTCACCTTCAGTTGCTGGTCCCCATTGCCTATATATATATATATATAAAAAATATATATTTCCCCCCCCCCGTACTATGGAAGTCAATGAGGACCAGCAACTGAAAGTGAACTATCCCTTTAACATGTTAACATTTTAAAAACCATTTTGTATTTAGGCCTTCCAAAGCAAATTTAGGCCTTCAATTTTTCCTGCCAATATACTTTTATGTTACAACAAGGTTGTTAATTAAAAACAAAACAAAATAATAATAATAATAATAATAATAACATTTTTTTTTTAAATAAATACATACAATTCTGATATTCTGATGACCCATAAATGTTGTTAGCAGGCTACTTTTTCCTTGTGGGTGACCTTGTGCACAAGTTACCCAGTGAAGACTATTTCTGACCCAGAACAACCACTTTGACTACTTAATTGTGACTTTTATAATAATTTCTACACAGATAACTGAATCATTGCCGGTTGCATCATAGATGTAACCCACTGACCTCTCGGCGCATGGCACAGTGCACGGTGATGATGACGAATCCCTGGACTGAATCAAAGACCGCAAAGAGCACCTGGAAGAGAGTTGATCGGCGGTCTGTGATGGCTAGCACAGCTGACATCCATGTGAGTGCCAACAGAGGGAGAACCACACAAGAGCTCCATAACGATGCCCTGTGCAGAGAGAGTACAGAGCAAAATGCAGTTGATCCTCCACGCAGCAAGGTGGTGACATCACTGCACCTGGAATCATTAGTCATCAAGATATTATCACGATTACAGTCAAGCTATGATGGTGTTGATGAGATTTAGAAACCAGCTCTGTACTACAGGCATTTCACTGAGTGTCAATACAGCGTAAATTTATACTTGAGTCATTAGAGGGGTAATAATTAGAAACCTCCCGGACCTAGTTATTGCTACATTTTATATATGTAACATACGGAGTATTGAGAGAGCATAATTTAGAATTCCATACAAAAAAGTATCACGGCAACCAAAGTTTCTGCCATATGTAGCAGATTTCCATTTTTAAGATTTTGCATTTTATGTATTTATTTGTTTGTTTGTTTATTTTCAGATATAATGTTTTTTTAAAAACATTACTTTAGCATAACTTTTGCTAAAGTAAAATTCATCAAAAGCATAACTTTTGATGAATTAAATGCATCCTAGAAATTAATAAAATTATAATATCAATAATATAAAATTCAACAATTTATGTATTTTGTTAATGTATTGTTGTTTTAAATTCTATTAATAGTATAATAAATTAATATACCAAGTTAACATGTTAACACTTTTAAAAATATTTTTAAAAATATATTACATTTTAAGATTCAGCCATATATAGCAGATTTCCAAGTTTCATTTTCTGTATTAATTTATTTTATTTTTACAATTTGTTTATTTCATTTAGTAGGAAACTATGGTTACCATGGTCCATTTTCATACGGGAATGACAACATGTAATCATGCAAAGACTACTACTACTTAATACTACTACTAATAATAATTATAATTTAATAATTTATAATTCAATGAAAAGACACACATAGTGAATCCAGTTTGGACACGCTCTCAGTTTGTTTGCAAAACAGGCAAATAATTGCTTTTCATGATGCTGAGCACTCATGCTAACATGCCCTGATGAATTTCCAACATGTTGCTAATCCTACTGGAGTGTTTTGTTTCTGCATAATGCAGAGCCTATTTAGATAAATATCAGGTGTCAGTAAGGACTGTCCGCATGAGCTCAGCCAAGCAAGGGCTCACCACAGCTGGGCATCAATTTAACATCTTCACGCTGCACTGACTCAGTCTCCTGCATATGACTGTGATGGGACGGACATTAGCAATGAGACAGAGGAAGAGATTTGCTTCTATGCAAATCTACAGTATGAGTTCTCATGCTCAAATAATAACAATGCAGAAAAGGTTGAGTTGGTAGATGTAAAAAAGCATGACTCAAATTCAATGTCCTCCCCTAACTAACTGGAGAGAGAGCATGGGGTTGGGATGGAGCAGGAACGCTGACATCGAATAAAATGAAGTGATCGGTGGGATCATGTGAACATGGTCCTCACAAACTTCCTTTAGGAAGTCCTATTCATTCATTTCTATGAATGTAAGTTGTATTATGGCACCACACACTTATATTTATACTCGGATAGCAGAGGCAGAAAAAGCAGACAGCAAGGATGGGATGAGGAACAAAAAAATGACAAAGAGAAAGAGGAGCAGAGAAGCGATATCATTCAATTCATTATCATTTCAATAACATGACTCCCTCCAGCAAATAGCAGAGACGAGTTCAATTTATCCAAAGCCAAAAGAATCAGAGGTGGCCCACACTCTGGTTCTTTACCTCTTCAAAGAGCACAATCCTCCATGTTCATTTGTATGTGCATGTATTTGTGTTTTCAATATGGCTGTCAATTTAACACATTCATTTTTTAATAAAAAAAAAGTAATTGTATAAATAATACAATTAAATGAATTTTATTAATAAATATATATTTATAAAATAACATTTAAGAATGCGTTTTTCCAATCATTAGAGCAATTTGGTAGATGTACGACCTCTGTGTTTTTACAACAGTTATTCAGCATAGCGCGAGAGCCAGATATTGAGTGAGGGGGAAAAAAAATAAAATCCTGCACATATTTGTGTTTAATTTTCAAGTTAAAATCCTTGAAATAAGATTTACTACATTTACAACACAAAGATATTAAGTATTTTAGTAAGTGTATTTTGTCTCTCTTTTTTTTTTTTGTTTATACTTAATATAAGAAAAAAAACTCTTGTATCAAAGACACATTTTCTAGAAACAAGTCTTAATATCTAAAAAAATTAGACAAAAATACTTAAGCATTTTGCAGTGCAAAGATGTCCATTGGCACATGTAAACAAAACAAAACAAAACAAAATATGCACTGAATGAATGACCCCTAATGGCTGGTTCACACAGAACAGGTTTTTCAATTCCACTGGACAACATTTTTTTTTTTCTATGTAAACACACTAGACTGACATCTTTGATCACTGTGTTTCACGTCTTTTGCTGTGTCTCGTGTATGATGCTGTGTCCTAAAAACGCTCAAGTTTAAAAAAGTTACACTACCCGAGACCTTGTGTTTTTCTCCCTTCCACCACCCACATCTTGCATTTTTCAAAGCAGAAACGTGTTCTGTGTGAATGGCCCCTAAGTCTGTCTTGGACACTTTTATGACTGGACTGCAAAATATATTGCACTGAATTGTGGTTCCCGTAGGCTTATGTCTGACGAATAAACAATATATCGACTTCTAAAGCCATTTTTATAATGTCTATTCAATGATTTGCAATATTGTAATGCCAAAAACGATCTTCTTTGAGGGCATTTTTCAGCGAAGATTAAAGAAAATGATGTAGTTCTGGAGTGTGCAGACAGGAGGGCGACTCTTTGAAGAGTTTCTGTTTCTTACTGTCAATGTTGGGCTCTAGAGAGAGAAAGAGAGAAAAAAGAAAGATACGGAGAGAGAAAGAAGAGACAAAGAGAGAATATGGAATGAGACTAACATGGCGCTGCTGGCGGTAGAGCTGGACAGGGCAGTACTGGAGATCACACCGCACTTGGAGCATTTCAGGAGCAGCCTGCTACGCGCTTCCAACGGCGGACTTCAGGACCCAATACACACACACACACACACACATATATTCATTCAGGAAAGAAATGTACGTGACACAAAGCAGGGAGGTAGGGAGGAATATAATAATAAAACAAATACTCATAAATATCCATCCATACACACATTCATGCCGATACACACAAACATCACAAAGGTAAAAGGTTTGAATGTAGAATGCAGGGGAATTACAAATGGAATATTTGGAAAATGACGACAAAGCACGCACATAAGGAAAGGGAACACAAAATAGAGAGGAAAAAGAAAGAGAAAGACACAATTAAAGTAATGCCAAGAAAACAGCATCAAGCAATGAACAACAGCAATGACAGAGTGAGATCTGTAATGAATGTCACAGCGTGAAAGTAGCTTGCGTGTGTCTGTGAGAGAGAGAGAGAGAGAGAGAGAAAGAGACGATGATGGCAGGAAAATGAGAAAATGGAGAGAAACACAGTAAAATGCGACGACAGATCATTAACAATCAGCAGATGAGGCAGATGGGAGCTGCAAAGACTAACCTACTTCAGCTGCTCACTGAAGTGTGTGTGTATTATAGGAGTACTTGTGTGTGAAAACAGGAAAAGCTGTATGCTAATGAATGCTATTCTTTTGAACTTTCTATTCACCAAAGAATCCTGAAATATATATGTATCACCGCACCACAAAAACATTAAGCAGCACAACTGTTTTCAACACTGATAATAATAAATGTTTCTTGAGCAGCAAATCAACATATTAGAAGGATTTCTGAGGGACCATATAACACTGAAGATTGGAGTACTGATGAAAAAGGAATCAAATCAAAGGAATAAATTAAAATTTTTAATATATTTTACAAATCTGGTGTTTGTGCATTATTAAAGCAACTGTATGTATGTTTTTTACTTTGAAATATCAGTTTCAAAATCATTCTGATGGTATACTGACATCTAATAAAGCGAATGGCTTGGGTTTCTGCTTTCCCACGCTCCCGCCAAATGTCTGCTCTGAGAATAAATAAGTTCGGTGGGCGGGTACAGATTTCTGCGAAAAGGTTGGATTGCTTTATGACAGCAAAAAAATCCATGTGTACAGCTACCCACTGTAATTATGAGTGATATATTTACGACAGTGAATTCAACTCGCTTAACTGCGGGGAGCTCCAAAAAAATCTACACAACTACTGTACATACAGCTGCTTTAAGCCATTGTAAAACAAAAGCATTTTGTTTAAATTTTAGTGCTTTGAATTTAGTGTGTAATCTGAGATGCTGATTGAAACTGTAAAGGAAACAAAAGGCAGCCTCATGTCACAGACTTGGAGAAAGTGCTCTGAACATCAGAAATATGGAAATGAGAGGCACTCAGGATCAGCAACGAAGAGCAGGAGCAGCTTATTACAACAATGGACTTGTGTGCCATTTACACAGACAACCTTAAAACACTGAAAGCATGATCCTAAATTTAGTTTAGTATTTAACTGTTTAGGAAATATGCCCACCACAATAATAAAAAAAGGCTGGTAATACTTTCTGTAGAAAATATGACTAATGCTTGCCTGTGCAACAACTGACACTAAGATCCTAAGGTGTTGAGGGTGGTTGCTGGGGCATTGCTATGCGGTTGCTAAGGTTTCTGAGTGGCTTTAATGCATTGCTATGCGGTTGCTTACTGGCCCACCACATATGATTCAGAGCTTGGTATCGCTGAAGGCGTTCCCCTAGCGTTTTCCGACGCAGCTCGAGTTCCCGAAGGGGAATCACAGTTTCCTGTCAAGACATCGGTATGGTGGTCCACCAAAGCAAAGTCACATATCTAAATGGCATTTTTACAGCTTACATTCGGATTACAATGCAGAGAGGCTATCGGTAGCTATTAGATTCACAAATTCAGTTGCATTGTGAGCATTAAGGCTGTTCTCATGCCTTCAGTATAGTACTGGCAAAAACACGTTCATGCATCACAATGAGCTTGACAGCAGTTGAACCCTGAGCTCATTTTAAACAATGTAGTGCACTTAGCTTTGCTTAAAAACTGGGATTTCTGATGCGGCGTTAGTTTAATTAAAGATGGAGGGCTCTGAGAACCCTCTTGAAGTTTCCAGGTAGCCGATTCATGGAGCGGAATGGGAATATTCAATCTCTCAGTGCGATTTAGCCTTTCGTTTGAGGTGAGGGATGTGGCGGTCCAATCATTAACACAAGTGTTTAATGGATCACTCTGCAAGATGGAGGGCTCTGAGAACCCTCTTGAAGTTTCCAGGTAGCCGATTCATGGAGCGGAATGGGAATATTCAATCTCTCGTTTGAGGTGAGGGATGTGGCGGTCCAATCATTAACACAAGTGTTTAATGGATCACTCTGTTTTGTGTCCAATCAAACAAAGGCAAAACAGAACAAGTGTTTTAAAAGCACAAGGGCTCCTTGATCCTGTCAGTATGTGCAGTTCCATGAACAATGAATATACACTTAGCTAATGACAGAGCTATCAGAAGACTAGCCTGAGGTTAGCAGGCCAGCAAATCAGTACAAGTCCATTAATGAAGCTGTCATATCTCGGCTTTCAGTCTGATGTTTTTCAACTTTTAGTGGTTGGTTGTGTGTGTGTGTGTGTGTGTGTGTGAGAGAGAGAGAGAGAGAGAGAGAGCATGAGTAATTTACTTCGCCCATACAAATATTTGACAGGATATTTTAAAACCTTCAACAGGCCAGTGGTAAATGAGTGACTTGGTGCAAATCCAGAAATAGGTGGGTATCACATAGCCATCACTTTGACCTTCACTTACTTACCCTGCTCTCTGCTTTTTGGACTTGTCTGAGATGCCATCTCTAGACATGAGTTTGTTGAAGACCACTATTCCAATCAGCATGTTCACCTGCAGCAAAGAGATAGAGGGTGTGTTATTTGTTTTGTTAGATTTTTTTGGATGATAGATTATGCTGGTTATTTCAAGTTAGGATCTTATTTAGCCTGTGAGAGTAGTGTTGTTTGTTGACTAGTTAGCAACAGGGTTATACTCAATTCAGAACTGAAACATTTGAATTCTTTTAAATTCCAATTCAACTCTCTAATTCCATTTGAATTTAAACAGCAAACCACATGCAGAATTGCAATTCTAATCTGAATGTTATGAAATATAATTGAAATTCACATGACTGTACTTTTAACTAGAAAAAAGTAAAAAAAGCCTTAAAGTTAATAAGTTTATAGACTTTATGATAGATCGACAGATACGATAGATCGACAGATCGATCTAGAACAATATAGAATATATATAGATATAGAACGATTGAATGATTGATTGATTGAATGATTGAGTGAACGATCGACAGAACACTCAACAGATAGACAGAGACAGACAGACAGACAGACAGAGACAGATAGACAGATAGATAGATAGATAGATAGATAGATACTTCATTTGAACTACTGCAGCATCTAAGTGGAAGGAAATAATTTAGTACTTCTGGCCATTATTTCTGAATAAATACAATTTGGGTAGTGGGACAATAAAGCAGTGTTGTGAGGTGACCTTTAACCATGGAGCATTTACAGCAGTGGCTCGCTAACAGCCTGTGACAGGTGTTGTGGATTTAAGTCTGGAAGCAAATGGGCAGGTGGGATCATGAAGGGACAGTAATGCCCTCATGTCTCTCACCCACTCTCTCTCTCTCAACAGATTGTTGTCCAGTCCGCTCCAGCCAGCTGCTCACTGGACACACAGATCACTGAAGAGGAGCTTAGACAAAGGCCATGGAAAGACCACACACACACACACACACCTGTACCTTTGATACACACAGGATTTGAGCCAAGACTATACTGTTTCTCTTGTATTACAACAGGAGGGCATATGGTTGTAGGTTACAAGACTGACAATCTCTTCCTGTTAAGTGGCATCTGACTGCACTGCACCACCAACACATGGACTGTGACTTTGGCAGCTGCATTCAACTTTGTTAAAGTAGGGATCTTCAGTTTATTTCAAATAAATGAGCCCTTGGTATATATTATTGAAAACTGAGTGTTGGATTTTAAACCTACAATAACATGTGTTTAGCACCATGTTGTTATGACACATCAATTATTTTTGATGTTATGTCATATACAAGTACAATACTATGTAGTGCTGGGCGGTATACCGGTTCATACCGAATACCGGTGTTTATTTTTGTTATGATATGAATTTTGAAAATGCCGCAATACCGGTATATGTCACTTAAACAACGTTCGGAACGCGACACTGTTTGAAAGGGGTGTTGCACTGTGGTGAGGGAACAGCTGTATGTGTTACTAAACGTGAAAGTTCCGAAACTGAAGCTGTAGAACTAATAGAACGTGATGACACATCATGATAGTAAAATAGGGCATTCTAAGTCAATATACTGCAGTATTTCCTCTCTCAATCAGTAGAAAATATGGTTAACACCCGGTCATGCATGAAAAAAAAAATACCTTCTTGTACCGTGAAACCGGTATAATTTTGAAAAATACCGTGATATAAATTTTTGGTCATACCGCCCAGGACTAATACTATGTATTACTTAATACATTTTAATGTAAGAGAGAAACTGTTATTTCATTAACATTATTTAATGCATTAGGTATCATGAGCTAACAGTGAGCAAAATGTTTACAGTATTTTTTATTCTAGATTAATGTTAATTTACAAATACGTATACTATAAATCTAAAATAATTTATACATACTTTATTGTTCAAATGTTTGGGGTTGGTAAGATTTTATTTTTATGTGTTTTTTTTTAAAGAAGTATCTCATGCTTTCCAAGGCTGCATTTATTTGATCAAAAATACAGTAAAAACAGCAATAATATAAAATGGTATTACAATTTAATATAACTGTTTTCTATTTGAATATATTTTCAAATGTAATTTTATTTTCTGCGATATAAAGCTGACTTTTTAGCAGTCATTACTTCATTCTTCAGTGTCACATTATCATTCAGATATCATTCTAATATTTTGTGCTCAAGAAACATTTCCAATTATTACCAATCTATATCCAACTGACCCCATACTTTTGAAAGGTAGTGCATTTTGTTCATAATACATTAATTTTTATCAATTTGAGATGTTAAATATGTATTAATGTATGTTGAATAAAATTAATAAACACAGAAGTATTATTCATTGTTAGTTCATGTTACTAATATTTTATCCAAGCATTACCCAAAAAATAATTTGAGATTAAACAATAATTGGCTGGACCCACAACAGACTCCCTGTTGAAATCCCCTGCGTTAAATTAACACTTGGTCTGTTCAGTCTGCTCCGAGAGCATATAGAACCTACCAAGTCTAACACGTTTAACAGTGCCATTCGTATTCTGATCATGCAAGGCACTTGCTTAGACAATGGGTCTCCATTTTACTATTTGCTAGAGGCAAGATTAATTATTTTCCATTTATTAGATTTGCCTCTCCAAGAAGGGAGACAGCATCTCCAGATGCCCAAATCTCATTTGCAGTTGTTTGTTTGAGTGGGCCGCTTCACAGCACCACCAAGGAACAAACAACGCAAATCACATCTGACCATGAAAAACAATGCAAACATCTCACAGAAAACACACAGCACCTGAGACCGGGGCTGTGGACAATAGTATATGCACACACACTTTGGTTGCTTTGGGCTAATACGCTCATCAAGTTCACTCATGCATTTTACACTGGAGAAAAATACACGCATTTGAAACGAGACAGGCCTCAACTCTAATCTCATTAGTGAAAATGCTCTTCGACTGCTGGCTTGATATATTTAAAATGCATATTCAAGTGGACGGAGCTCATGTTGGCTAAATCTAACCAATGAAAAAGTACAAAGTCTGAGACCTACCAGTACAATGACAGCAGCGGGACCGACAAAAGCATAGAGCAGCCCTCCTTCCAGAGACAACCAACAACTGAAATTGAGAGAAAGAGATAAAGTGAAATATAAACACTGCAAATCAATAGAGAGAGTTGACATTTGTTGGCTTCAGAAAAAAAGGGGGGTTGGCGAGAAAGAAATAGAAAATTAATTATTTTTGCAGTTTTCATTAACCTTTAATCATATTTCTTCACACAAATAAAGATTAAATGAAAGTAGAATAATAAATTAAGTCAGCTTGGATTCTAACCAAATTTATTCCCTAAATTAAGAAACTGAAGAGGATATCTCAAAAACAACCTCTCCATCTTACTACTTTGTTTTTAGAAATACCATATTGTTAAAGTGCTTTCATTGCAGATATCAAATAAAACTTCATATCTAATAGACAGATAAAGATATGCCTGGTAAAGTTCTACACAAACAGCTCTGAAAAAGCTGGAAGGTCATACTTTGTAGAAAAGCATTATTAATCATGATTTTAATGGAGCTGTTTCAACATTTGCTAATGTTCTGGTCAAATGCAATCAAACAGATTTCAGTTTAATTTGTATTCTGGCATCCTTGTGAAATGTCCGCTGTGAAAGGATCACAGACATATGCACTCAATCATGTATTCGTGTGTGGAAGACTGTAGAGAAGAGTGACTGTGTAGTAAGCAGGCTGTTACTGAGCCCAGCGGTGAGGTTATCTGAGGCCACTGAATTCTTCCACTGTTTCCAAAATGTGTCTTTTTGTTTGAGGGGAATCCATGTTTTAGACGTATCCTATTAAAGCTCTCAAAGGCCACCATTGTTTTCAACTTTTGTCTCCGATTAGTCAGGGAGCTCTCTGGTTTAAATTAATTGCTTAGCAGTGCAGTGAAGACAGAAACCATTATATGCAGAGCAGCAGAAAATGACCACCACTTTGTATAAATCCATAGTCAGGAATAGAGGAGGAACAGGACTCTCTGAGGACTCTCTGACTGAAGATACTTGTTGAATAATTTCTTCCAAAGTAAAAGGTCAACATTAGGCAACACACACTCACAAAAACGTCTGTGCATCACAATGTAGCTCTAAAGAAGAAAACATCTAGGCATCATATCAGTTGGTAAAACGTTGGCTATTTTCAGAAGTTGATTTGGATTATAAATATTGTGACGAGCGTCCCGAGCTCACATCAGCGTTGCCCTGGAAACGGACGAGGAACACCTGCACACGCTCATCACGGGCTGATTGGTCACAGCTGAGAGTCATCAGCCCACGGCCAGATAAGCCGCGTGAGGCCCGAGGAAGGGGAGAAGAGATGCTCTCCCAGAAGCTGAAGTCTAACGTGTTCTCTCCTTTACATTCCAGAAACCAGCCCGTGACCAAGCAGCCCACACACGAGCGCCGCACGGACTCACCGACACTGGAACACGCTCACGGAGAAGCACCGACTCACGCACGGAGAAGCCTCGACTCACCTCAGGACCCAGCGCACTCACTTGAGCACTTTCTCTGTGAATAAATCCACCCTCCGGGGTATTTATTTGAGCTCTCCTTGTCGCGTGTTCCTTCCACCCCGTTACAATATATAATCTGTTCACTGGTCTCTTGACATTAGGATATTTTGATCCTAAAACATTTTTTAGATATCAAATCATCATTCTTAGAATTGCAAAACTGTATACTGGAATGAAATGTATTATGAGCATTTTTATAGTGGTTAGAATATTTGTAAACGTTTTGCTTTATTTACTGGTATTTTACATAATTTCTGAATGTAATAATAAAATGTAACTCATAGAACGACAAACATAACTTTTGGACAATGCAATGCTGACCCAGTGCAACTTATAGTCAGGTGCAACTTATTTTCTGGAAAGTACTGTAGTTTGTAAAGATTGATTATTAACTTGATGGCAATAATTTGTACATTTCATGTATCAGGTAAGTGTGTTTACTGCTTATGTGTTGCATTATACACTATGTGTTATAATATTATACAGAGTACTCTGTGATCATACAAAATTACTTAAACAAAAAAATATCTTTATGTATTTTAGATGTACTGTAGGTACGTCCGTATTCTTTTAAACATCCAAAGATCACTGAGACTTGACGTACTTTAACCCTCAAAATAGCACCAGAACAATGTTTTAATGTAAGATAAATGTTTTCCTTGTGAGACTGTGCTGCATCAGTGATACTTACTAACTTGGCGTGCCATAACCTCTGGCCCGGGTAAAACCCACAGATACAGCGACCACAAGGGCTGGAAGACCTGCAAGATAAAGCTTATGATGAGGAAAGGAGAAAAAAACAACAAAAAAAACCTCAACCCACTGAAATTAAAAAGTTTGTTTAATTGCTTAACTTATAATTATTATTTTAAATGCAAAATGTGGTGGCAAAGTTAATTGAAATCATTTACTGATAAAGAAAATTGAGTTGAAATTCTGAAAAATTTTTTTGACTATTTAAATACTGACTGAGAGATTTTATACATTTAGCCTGCATGAGAAAATTGCCCACCATATATAATAACAGAGGACAGGCATTGCTAAAAGGAAAATTATGAACAGAAAATGCAACCTAGAATTTTTCATTTTTTTTTAGAACCATTAATGGCAAATGGCCAGAGGGGAAGTTAGCTGAAGTAATCTTCTCTCACATTGGTGACTTTCTTTAGCTTGTGCCCTTTTCATGGACAAATGCACATGGCGTACAGGTACACCATTCCCCCTGTGTGCAGTGCCCTCCCAGACCCCAGACACGCTACTTTAGCAAAGAGAATTCCCGTGGGCCTCTGTGTATGTCTTTATTTATGAGGCCAAAGTGTAGCAGTGTAAACGTTCCTGTCTGTATTCTCTAAGAGCGCTCCACAGGGCAAGTACACAGAGCAAGCACTGTGACCCTCTTATAGCAACACTGTGAATGCTAGCTGGAACCAAAGAGCTTTTATGTCATACAGTATCATGTCATTAAAAGCACATTACTGTGTTTTGCTTCAGGTCTCAACTTTCAAATGTATATATTTAATATGTTTCAGTTCAGAAATCCAATGGCACAAAGTGTAATAGTAGCATGTTCAGTATACCAAGTTTATTTCTTAATTATTTTAATTAAGAATTGAAAAGGATATATTAAATACAACCTCTTCATCTTACAACTTGTATGGTTTGTATAACACATTGTTAAATTGATTTAATGTCTTTTATATCATACAGTATAATGTCACTAAATGCACATTACTGTGTTTTGCTTCAGGTGTTTTCTTTCAAATGTACTGTATGCATTTAATATATTTCAGTCCAGAAAATCTAATGGAACAATGTGTAAAAATAGTCTTATATTTGTTTACCAGCTAGATTTGTAATAAATAAATAAATAAAATGTATTTGGCATGCAATAGGCAATATGCAGGACTTTTCCATTTACCAGGTTATGAACATGCAATATATAAGATAAAAAAAGCAGAAAAAAAGTTTCTGAACAATATTTTCTTATTTTAATCAATAATTTCTTACTTTTAAAAACTGTAATGATTTTTCACCATCACTGCTGGACCTTGAAAATTTGTATTATATATATATATTGTATTTATTTAATTGTCTTCTTTGCAAGAAAACTATATAATACTAAATGTTCATGAGTTCACGAATATAGATGTTCCCCCTACAGGAATAAAAAAAAAATGCATTTTGCTATTTTATATACAACAGTAAACACTGTCATAACTAAACATCTTTTCAGCATGAGGTTTCCCATCTCAAGACTGAGGAAGGTGTACTTCTTGGTCCTTGATTACAATGACGTGTACAGTGACCTTTACTTTGTAGAATCCCTTCCCCTCTCGGTGTCTGTGAGGGCTTTCTGGCCTCTCCTTCTGGTGTCATCCCTATTGTGTTTGCCATCACAGTCAGGGAGGCCAGCTTTACTCATGTGCTAATTAGACCTATCCATTCTTCTCGCTCTATGTCTGTGTGCCACGTCCACACATAATGAGCTCTCCTCTGAAATATTCATGTAATTAACAATGCTCTGATTAACTCTGGAAATTAAAGCCAATTAGAAAAACTCCAGTTTAGAGAACAGGATTGAAAGACGTGGGAAAGGAGGGGATGAACTTGATCCAAATGTGGCTCTGGAGGAAGCAGCACACAATGAAGAAAGTTTGCTCTGGATTCCAGCTGTGATCGTTTCATACTGTAACCTGTAGGGGGTCATGGTTTGGATAGTTAGAATAGTCACTTTGCTCCTCCTGGTCGATTCTGTAACTACACTACACTACGTGGGTAAAATAATGTTTCTTTACGGATGGCCTTTCAAAAGTAGCTCAGCATTGTAATTATTTTTTTTCAAGCAACATACAAATAACACAAACAGAAAATCATGAAAACATAAAAAAATCATTATAAATATATAATATATCTTGCAACAGACAGCACACACACACACACACACACATATATGTAATACCACTTCCCTGTGGGAGGCAATGCTTTTCTACAATATCTGCAAAGGGCATCTATGAATTAATGGAAGTGATAGTGGATCAATAAGTTACAAAACAAGTGTGTGTGTGCTACTGCAAGTGCTTGAATACCCTGTTAGATCCTGCCTGTGTTAAGATGGTGGCACACAATGCATTTCTTATCAACGATCAGACATCTACGTCTTGTAATACAGAAGTAACATTGAGCTCCAGTGGCATGTTTATGGTGTGTCATTGGGCTCCATTGAAGCAAACTGACATTGCAGACAATCTGATGTGACTGAATTGATAAGAACTGGCATGTTATACTCCTGCATCCCTCATATGGATAAAAAACTGAAACTGAAGCACTACAATAACATCGCTTTTGACCTTTGATGTTAGTTGTGGTGTGTGTGCGGGTGTCCTACCCCAGCCCAGGCACAGAAAACGCTTGCGAATGAGGCGGGACCTCATCTTGCCATTCACAGCCAGATAGGACTGCCATGCCTCTGTCAGTACCCAGCAGAAAGAGGCCAGAAAGAAGAAGTGCAAAAAGGCAGCAGTCACAGTGCACAGTCCCTAGAGACAAAAGAGGGAAGAAGAAAGAAACAGAGAGAAATAAGGAGTAAGAGATGACGAAAAAGATGTGTGAGAAAGTACAGGAAGCAAGAAGAGGTGCAAATGGCTCTCGGCTGCTTGTTATCAAAGCCAAGAGGGAGAGAGAGATGAAGTGATTGATAAGGAGAAGTGGGAACGAGCCGCGGACATTAACGAAAGTCCATCTGGTTTCGATGTGGTGTGAAAATGAGCTCTAACAACACACCCTGTCTATGCTTTTTTCCTCGTAGACGGTACTTAAAAAGTGAAAATGGGTTAGTTAAAGGTTGAATAGTTTCTGAGGAAAAATGGCAGGCTAGAATTAAAGAAAAGTATGATTTAAATAACCGGCGAACGCAAATGAGAAGCAGTAAGCAGAGTATATCGCTGAGGTTTTATACAATAATGAGGTGCATATTCTAATGCTAAACACCGGCCCGCTCAGCAAATGACCCAGGAAATGAGAAGGATTTCACACCATTCATGGTTTCTGAAATTAGGCTTATCTGTACTTTCTGAAACTTATGCCGAATATGAGAATTTTGTGAAATATTAAGTCTGGATCGAGGAGGAAGGGGTCCTACGAGCAGTTCCTTTGCTGGTCTTCGGCTTTCTTTGTAGCTCTGAGCGACAGGTTGGGTTTGAATGACAGCACTTATTTCTCAGGTGCCTCTGTAGTCTATCTTACGCTCTCTCAGTGTGACTGTCACGGCTGACACAAAGCTGACCCTCCAGCGCCTTCCACACGTCTGTCTGTCTGCTACAAGCACCTGCCTGACTTTCTCAAATTCTATCGTGGCCACTTACATATTGTCATGACAGGCTGGAGAGAGAACAAACACCAGTTACCTGTACCACAGACAGACTACTATCTCTAAGGAGTCTGGGACCCAAGGTTAAGTGCCATTCAGAACTCAGTTTTAAATTGAATGTATTTTGCATTCCAATTTATTTTTTTGAATTTGAACTGAATTTGTATGAAGACTTAGAATTTAAGTAGAATTGAAATTGAATTAAATTCAAAGAAAAAATGTGTATGTAACTTATAATAATAATAATAATAATAATAATAATAATATTAAATTCAAAGAAAAAATGTGTATGTAACTTATAATAATAATAATAATAATAATAATAATAATAATAATAATAATAATAATAATAATAATAATAATAATAATAATAATAATAATAATAATAATAATAATAATAATAATAATAATAATAATAATAATAATAATAATAATAATAATAATAATAATTTTAGTTATTAGCTAATAGTGTTATGTTTATTCCATATTGAAAACTGAAATGCAGTCATATAAATGGTCATTATTAAATAAAAAATGAAGGGCAGTTATATACAATTATTTGATGATGATAATAATAATAATAATAATAATTTTAATTCACAAATGCATTTAAAACTATACCTTAACTAACAGTTATACAAATAATAATAATAATAATTATTGTTATTATTATTATTATTTAAAGTGATAAGGTATAAAAATATATATTTATTTTTTTAATATGACCGATACAAATATTATCATCAACAACAACAGGGGCTACTTTCCAGAAACACAAAATTGTTATTTATTATGTTTAATAAATTAACTAATTTCATGTAGACCATTCCAGAAGAACATTTACTTCCCCAGAATAATCTTCAAATTGTAGCCAAACATGAAGGCGTCAAGATGGGAACCTAAAGGTTGTTCTTTCTCAACTCTTTCTCTCATATACATCAGAGAAGCACAAATGTGCACACATACTCACCTTACTGAGAGTTTGGGACTGTCCCACCAGTATCAGCACATTGGAGGCCAGTATGGACAGGCAGAAGTTCACCAAGATGATGGACCTCTCTGAACGAATGTACCTGAGAATCAAATAACTTTATCAGCAACTTTGTTTTGCTGTTATGACATTATTATCTTTACAAAAGGCTTGATATACAGGTTTATGACATAAAATGTGTGGGACCCATTTATCAAAATCCATTTATCCTTTTTTTCTCTTCACTTAACACTGACAACTCGAGCAGCATCTCAGGTGACCTTCAGATGAACTCCAAAACAGCATCTTACACACAAGCACCGGTGAGCAAAATGTCCTCATTCGCTATTTGAGCTCTGGCCAGATCTGCTCAAGAGGACAATGACAGCGTCCCCTGGATCAATGGTCTGAGTGAAAGGGCAGGCCTGTGATAAGCTCTCTGGTGGGGTGGCAGATGCACTAATCTTGGAGAGAGGAAATACCTTCCCACCTGCTACTCAGGAATTATGGGACGGGGGTAAAAATCATTTGGATCCGAAGTATCAGGTAATTTAAACCAACTCAAACACCCTTAAAAGTGAATGAATAATGAATGAATTTCATTGCATTATACAACAAAATAGTACTACGCATTATATATAAAAATAGTATAACACATTATAATATATAATATAAATAATTTACAAATACACTCTTCGACCAAAACATTTCACACATAAACATGCTTCTTCTTCTTTCTTTCTTTTTTTTTTTGTAAAGAGATTATTACTTTCATTCAGCAAGGACACATTAGGTTAATCAATAGTGACAGTAAATACTGTAGTACTGTGACAAAAAAAAATATTTTCATCAAAAAACCCTGCCAAATATGATCAAGGATTTCAATGTTTTCAACATTGATAATAATAAGTAATGTTTCTTAAGCACCAAATCAGCATATTAGAATGATTTCAGAAGGATCATGTGACAAATATTTTATATGAATAATATTTAATATATAAACAATGTAGCGAAAAAACAATCTAGCATCATTTGTCATACTTCTGAGGAGATAAATACTTGACTAAGCACTTGACTAAGTGTTGGCCTTTATCTGGGCATGGTGTTAGCTGATCACGTGACTGACCTGGGCCATCTGCCACACCGAGTTGTTAGCAACTATGCTAGCCTTCACTAGCACTCTCCACATAATCCTGTCCTGCCACAGGCGGCTCCCGCCATCCCTCATTCGTTCCCAATTATTGCAATTGCAGTTTTGGCCCACTGTAGATCTACCCCATGCCAGCTGCTCTATCCCAGCCCGGGCAACCCCACGTGGGAAGCTACAATCTGAAAAATGAATCTTTTAAGGTGTAAGTGTACCTGTGAGAGGTAAACGAGGGGAATAGTGCAAAAATAACACAGAGGACAGCAGAACCTGGAAGCTACGTTCAAAAACGGTCCTCTGTAGATCAGTGTTGTGTTGCTGGCTGTGGGTCAGTGAAGGGTTTTGTTGAACTCACCTCCAAAAGACAGCGTAGATGAGCAGCAGAATGAGAAGAGCCGTACAGGATATGCCACAGCCCACCATGAGGGGCAGAGACGGTATACTGGACGGCCCCATACCCTGGAAAGAGATCAATGGACAGAAGGAAGATTATAATGAGATGTTTATGGTATATGTATGGCACAACAAAGAGTCAGTCAGTCTTTAATTAAAAACAAACCTGACCGGAAACAGTAGGGACTTGAATCAGCCTTCAGGGGTTTATTTTGCAATAATCACCAGCTAACTTTATGTTACCCTGCTAATTGCATGGCTACTTACCAAATTAATAAATAAATTAACATAAAATATTGGTAGGCTACTGTTACAGTTTTATAGCATATAGTCTGCTTAGGACAACATTCAATTACACAGTATATACCATATATAAATACTGAGCTTCAACTCCCATTTAATATATACACTACTGTATAAAAGTTTGTAAGATACTTTTTAATGAAAATGTATACTTTTATTAAAGGCAGGGTATGTGATTTTTCAAAAACACTTTAGAAAACTGATTCGGGCCGAATAGCAAAACAAACTTGTAGCCAATCAGCAATAAGGGGCGTGTCTACTCGTGATGTGGAGGAGAGAGCTTTCAGTGCATGGGACGGACATTAGCCGAGCGGAAGTAGGGAGAGGATTACATTCTGTTCAGGTTAAAGCTAAAGGCCAAAGGTCTTCTTTCTGAATAGCCTCATGCTACCCTATCTTCTCTTATACTCCTGGGTTCATTTTCCCTGTTTCTTGTCAGGTCAAAGCTAGATTCTCTTCTTAAACTGGGCATTCTATCCCCATCAGCCCTTGAACACTTGCGACCCCTTTGCCCCAGCTTATTAAGCATCTCTGCTGAGAGAAGGGTTACTACGAGTGAACATATGCCTCATGTTTCAGGATTAACCCTCCTACTCAGTCTTACCACCAAGAATTGTGGGTAGATCTGTGTAACTTCATATACCACTGAGATACATGCTCAGTTCAGGGTTCAATTTAATGTTATATGCACAAGTGCAATGTGCAAATGTATTAATACATCAATCTTAAATGCAAATCAAATCAAATCAAAAATAAAATAAAATAAAATAAAATAAAATAAAATAAAATAAAATAAAATAAAGCAAGAAGTAGGACCCGTGTAAAGCTCGGATCAGGTTTCCAGCGCTGGAGAGAACTCAAGGAGCGGCGGCCTGCGATCGGACGCCGAGGTTGCTTTGTTTCTTCTCAATAGGTGAGTAACACCGTGTCTATAACAGCTAAAGTCTGCCTACACTGGACGCGATCAAATGACCGTTGAAAACCATTTGAAATTTGTGTCAGCACGTCATAAATAGACCCCGGCAGCAGTTTTCTGTCGGGGATTTGTTGCGCCGCGCCACTCACGTCCGTAGACACGGTGTAACATTGGTTTTGCTTTGTTTCACAGAACTAATCGTTGCCTGGGTTGCGTACGTATATGTGGGTATATGTAGAAACGTATGTAAAAATAAGACTTTGTAAACACTTGACAAAGAGCTGCATGTTGGGCAAAGGATAAAATGTGTGTGTGTGTGTGTGTGTGTGCGCGCTGAGAGAAGGGTTACTACGAGTGAACATATGCCTCATGTTTCTGGATTAACCCTCCTACTCAGTCTTACCACCAAGAATTGTGGGTAGATCTGTGTAACTTCATATACCACTGAGATACATGCTCAGTTCAGGGTTCAATTTAATGTTATATGCACAAGTGCAATGTGCAAATGTATTAATACATCAATCTTAAATGCAAATCAAATCAAATCAAAAATAAAATAAAATAAAATAAAATAAAATAAAATAAAATAAAATAAAATAAAATAAAATAAAATAAAATAAAATAAAATAAATAAAATAAGAGCTTTCTGTCCAGTCTGAAAGGGATGACGGTGTTAAATGTGGTGCTGTAATCAATAAAGACCAAGAACATCTTGACATTAGTACCTTCCTGTTGAGTCAGTGCAGCATGAAGATCCCAAGAAATTGCCTTTTTGCTGGACACGTTACACCGTTATGTGAACTACAGGGGGTCTAATCACTCAGACAGCATCGTGTTAATGCGCCCCATCACCAGCTCTTCACAGCACATCATTATGTTAGATCAGTCTGTAATCATTATACAGGTCACAGAATTTTTCTTTGAAACTAAAAAAAATATCAGATTCACACATGAGTGAGATATCCCCACACAAAGATTAGGAAAACTGTGTTAATTGTTTGTGTTGCTCAATTATTACTCCTGATAACCTTTCAAAGGTCATACCTTGGCCAAAAATTAAATCCACACTTCTCTTTTGAATTTTCTGTGCTGCTTTTGGGAGATAATAATAATTCAGTGGAAATCTGTAGAGCTTTCTACCATCTGCTGGTTGGCATGATTAAAGTCTTCCGCAATCAGGGACACCGCATCAGGCTAGATACTTTCATAGCTCTTAATATTAGTTCACAAAATGTCTTTTCTTGATCTGAATGGGTAGAATATTTATTTAATAGTGAGATATTCAAAGTTAGGACAACAAATCACTTCAGAATCTGTTTTAATCAGGACACCAGAAATTTACAGTTAAACATACACCTCCTTAAGCTGGTCTCATCTCATTCTCCATGGTCTGTAATAGTTTTTTTTTTGTTTTTTTTATCTGCCAATTTTAAAAGACTATTGGCGACTAATGTTCATCTCTGGGATGAAAGTAACTGATGTAACTGATTGTCAATTCAATTCAGTTGTTATTATCATTGTAAACAAATTATTTTGTTTAATTTATTACACAGAGCTATGAAATATTTTATTTTTTTCACTACAGAATAAAAATATAAAAAAGATAACTGCAACTCTTTAATGGAAGAGAAAAAAAAAGAATTCTGAGAAAAAAAAAATTGTGAGATATAAAATCTCAATTATGAGAAAGTCTCAATTACTTTTTTTTCTTAATTCATTAATTTAAAATTTAATTAATTAATTTATTTATTTATTTTTATTCCATGGTGGAAATAAGCTTCCATACTGAATAGTGATTTAATAACGTAGCTTTTTAAATACATTTTTCAAGATGATTAAGATAAAACAGAGCAAATAGTATCTTAACAGAATCACTGACAAACATAGTTCAAGTTCACAGAACAGTCCCACACCACTTCATCTGCTCCTGCATCCAGTGTTCCTGTGGATACATTATTCAATGAATAAATGAATGATGCATTTATATATGGCTTTATTTTTCCTTATTATTTATTCTTCCTCTTCAGGTTCTTGGAATAGGAAGCGCAGGCAGATGATCTGCGATAGTGGTGTGGCAGTAATCAAGAGCATTCATACAGGGCAGGAGGCATGCTGGTAATATTTCTAAAGAACTGTCTGCAGGTTGGCATGATTAAAGTCTCCTGCAATCAGGGAAGCAGCACCAGGGTGGGTACTTTCATAGCTGTTAAAGGGACAGTTCACCCAAAAATCAAAATACTGTCAACATTTGCTCACGTCGTTCCAAACCTGTTTGACTGACTTTCTTTCTGTAGAACATAAAAAAAAAGAAGATATTTTGAGAAATGTCTCATTGTGTTTTTCCCATACCATGAAAGTCAATGGCAACCAAAACTGTATGGTTACCAATATTTTGTAAGTAAAAGATGACATAATTTGAATTTTAGAGTGAACTTACTGATCTGATTAGAGAAGAATATAGAGGTGCATCTCAATAAATTAGAATGACGTGGAAAAGTTCATTTTAACATGCTTGGATACAGCACTCTGTGAACAGCCAGCTTCTTTGGCAATGAATGTTTGTGGCTTACCCTCCTTGTGAAGGGTGTCAATGATTGTTTTCTGGACAACTGTCAGATCAGCAGTCTTCTCCATGATTGTGTAGCCTAGTGAACCAAACTGAGAGACCATTTTGAAGGAAAAAATGGTCCTTGGAAACGGAAGGAAACCTTTGCAGGTGTTTCGAGTTGATTAGCTGATTGGCATGTCACCATATTCTAATTTGTTGAGATAGTGAATTGGTGGGTTTTTGTTAAATGTGAGCCAAAATCATCACAATTAAAAGAACCAAAGACTTAAACTACTTCAGTCTGTGTGCATTGGATTTATTTAATACACGAGTTTCACAATTTGAGTTGAATTACTGAAATAAATGAACTTTTCCACGACATTCTAATTTATTGAGATGCACCTGTAGATTGCATACATGATGTCAAAAGAAAATCCCATAGAAATGCTGCTATTTAACAGTAATATTACATGTTGGAACAACAAGAAAATCAGAAAACCAGAAGCTTAACATGAGACATATGCAACCTTTCAATCTGTGTGATCCGTCAAGCTGCACAGCTTCAGTTGTATTAGGGGTCAGCTAGGGCTTGTTGAGACAGAATCTAACCATACGTTATGGCCAGCTAAAGGCTTAACCTCTCTGTCAGTTTGTTCATCTCGTTCTCCACGGACTTCATGCTGAACAGAAGGACTCTCACAAATAGAGTCAAGTATAGAACACCAAGATAATTCTTTCAAACTAGATAGTATAAATCCTATACATACAGTGGGGTTCTGAGTCTGAGATCACTCGTGAAAATGCTTCACAGTTTACTAATAAAAAAAGTAATTAAATACCTTTTAAATAAATAAATGATTTAAACTAAATTAATTTAAATGTATATAAATAATTTAAAGTAAATAATTTTAAATAAATAAATCAATAAATGAATATATTCAACCTTCACTGGACATATACAGTACACTCACAGTAAGCAGTATGTTCTATATAGTAAATCTCAATTGCCTGATTGTAATAACTTAGAAAATATAAATCTATATTATCACCCAGTGATATATTAAAAGTTTATAGTACATCCTACTTTACCTGCATATAGTATACTAACGTAAAGCTATATATATATATATATATACTATTTAGCAAATCTCTGCTGAGTGATTGTTTACAAGCTGTATTATCACACAGCTCTCTCTCTCTCTCTCTCTGTACTGTATATAAAGTTGAATATCCAACTTCATATATACACCAACATAAAGATTTATATTCTAAATAATACATCTCAGCTGCCTGGTTGCT